AATCCTAGTGTTGTATACCGACTTAGTAGGTACAACAAACTAACATATAGATCATCTTTATACAGGTAAGTTAAATTAAATAATTAATAATAACAGTTTTAAAATTGTAGTTCCAGTCGGTAACTTTCGTCCACGGTCTTAGATTATTAGCTTTCGTCATTGTATTGTCATAGTTGGATTGGAAGTTCTTTGAGCCATTTAACTGCGTCTTTGGCGAGAATATGTAAATCATTTAGGGTACCTTCAAATGCATATATGATATAACTCACGCTCGTTGATTATGTGTTTGTGTTTCATCGTTTGTTTTTCAACTCCGACTTCACATTTTTCAGTGTCTTTAATATTCCATTTTTTTAGGGCTGTAGCACATCTTCCCTGGTCTGTGCGGAATCTATTTAATATTGCCCATTCTCTTTTGAGTAGTTTGAAACCTGGAACCAGAGTTTCTGGAATCTGTATTAGATTTTTTGTTTACTACAGTCCCCCTTTCCCATGGAGAAAGCCATTTTTCCATGATCGTCTTATTTTCTGACTGTGATTCCTCAACAGCCATCCAAAATGAGGTTCGTGATTTGAGGCGAGTTATTGGGGGATTTATTAGGACAGAGTTTATTGGTAATTATTGGTTATTTTTGTACTCATTCCACTCATTTTTTAAAAATTCTTCGCGTCTTAGTGGAGGAGGTGGAATATTCGATAGTATTGGTAACCATGGGGTAGGTGTGGGCTCAAGTGTGCCGCTTATAATGCGCATGGTTGAGTGTCTATTTTCTTGGCATGTTTGCTTTGAGTCCATACCGGTGCGCAGTATTCTGCAGCTGAGTACACTAATGAAAGTGCAGCTATTCTTAACGTTTTGCTCCAGCTCCCCATCCAGTCCCCGTCAGCTTCGTTAATAGATTGTCCCTTGTCTTGATCTTCTGCTGTATCAACTTCTCTATGTGTGGCCCGTATGCTAGAGATCGGTCTAAAGTGATACCAAGGTATTTTGGTGCAGGATTGTGCTGCACACTTTCCCCGCCGGATGTGATATTCATTGTTGTGGATGCTTATCTATTATTTAGATGAAAGATTATAGATTAGGTTTTCTGCGGATTTGGTTTGAGCCTCCATTTTTTAAGGTACAGATTTAGGGTCTCTAGGTCCTCTTCAGTGTTTTCTAGCAATTTGATACATCTTTATCCTGATATGCTAAGGATGTATCGTCAGCGTATTGGAATTTGTTAGATTTAGTCTTGGGCATGTCATGGATGTATAGGTTGAAAAGTAAAGGGGCTAGTACAGAGCCTTGGGGCAGGCCATTGTTCAATTTTCTCCATCTGCCTTCTTTTCCATTTAAGTGAACTATCATAACTATCATCCGCCTGTTTGTCAGCATGTCATAAGGTCTATAGTCTTTTTGCACCGTAATACTCTGCTGAGTTTTAAGAGTAATCCTTCCCTCCACACTGTGTCTCCACCCGCTAAACCTACTATAAATGTTATAGTTGAATACTTTAAAATAAATCATTTCAGTAACCAGTTACCGCTGCAATATTATACTTACTACTAGTTACTACAATACTATAATAAATGCATTTCAATTGTCTACTTACTGAGTTACTTTGATAAAATCATTTGTATCATTTGGGTCCATATCATATATGTATTTGTAGAATCTTTCATAACAAATTTTTTTTACGAGCCCTCAACATTTTAAAAGCCCTAGGAAGTACTAAAATATTATGTTCACTCAGTTTATTCAAAATCTAAAAATAAATTAGTTAGGTTTAGGTAAGTATATTAAATACTGTGAACGTTTTATAATATTATATTAAATAGGTAGGTAGGTACATAATATGAAACTAGGAAAAAAAATCCCCAAAGCTATACCTAACTGTTGGATACAGCTGTCAAAAAATTATAATTAATAATAAAAAAATATACAATATGAATGATAATTATTATATTATTATTATAATATTGATAAATAGGTAGGTATAGGTATATTATATTATATGATATGATACTGCTAATAATATTTTTTTAACTACCTATTTATTTATAAACGGGTAGATACCCTTTAGTAATAATATAGACAATAGTACAGTAAGTAGAATCTCAAATTGACAAATATAACAGTGAAATTAAATAATATAATGTTTTAAATGAGTTAATATTTTTAAAATTAATCGTATTCCTGCAAAATGAATCCTAACATATTAAACGATTTATTAACTTGTATTAATATGTATTAATATGTAATATAGGTACTACAATTATAAATTTTATAATTATAAGTAATAACATTATCTAGACGAGAAAAAGTAATAATTATTTATATTTAGTGGGAAGTAATTTTGACGACTCCAAGTCACAAAATATTTGTCTAGATTTTGCTGTAAAATTAAAATATAAGTTGGATACTTTTAATAGTCAAACATACTTAATATTTATTTATTATAATATAATTTTGATGCCTAATAGGAAACAGTATAACTACTCGTATACAAAATCTATCTATGGAAATGGTAAATAATATACGCTGTGAGTCTAAAATAATACAATATATAAATTTTAAATATAAAAAAATAGAAATACTTATTTGAAAAAAACAAAAAATGTTACACTCGGCAGATCATGTTAGATCTTTATAGAGTGAATTGACCTATTATAACATTTAAAGGTAATATTATTATCCGGGAAATAGAATAGGTAGGCTTTTTATTATATTTTAATTTTAAAGCGGGTTATGAGTAGGTATTTTAAGATGTACAATTATACATAAGTATTTGTTCAGGGATTTTTTTTCCTGTAGATATATTTTCCGGGAGTTTTTATTCCGAGGATTTTTTTTCCGATTACCTGTAACTGTAACATAACGTTTTTAAGAGGCACTACGCCTCTATACCCATTCATTTGTCAGGTATCTCCATCTTAAACACGTACGACAGAACAAATTTCCAATTACTTGTTTCAACATGGGCGTAACTAGGATTGAAAAGTTACAGAGCTAGAATCCTACAAAACTAAAGTGTAAAATAACACGTGGGAGGCAAAGCCCCTCACACCCCAGTAGATATTTTAAGGAATTATCACTGGGCGACATTAAAAAAAAAATTTACACTGACTATCAAAATCAATATATTATGACTTATGAGCTTATACAAAACTTTTCAGTATTAAATATTATACAAAACATTACCTATATTTAACAATACCATCAAAACTCACAATATGTAAATAATTACAAATAATTTATGAGTTAGGTAAATTAATTCTTTAAAAAATGGAATCAATATTGTTAATAAAAGTTAAGTTACTTTTAACTAACTTAAATAAGGAGATACATTTTTTCAGTGTTATTTAGTAACTTATGTCTTATGATTTAATTTATTTTATCAGTTTGGAAAGTATTAATAAAATCATTGTACATATTTTTATTGTATATCTAAGCATATTTTACTATTTTATATTGCATATAAAACCAAGCCTGGTAATTTATTGTGTTGTTTTGAGCGAATGTCTTGATCGGAGAATCATCGAAAGGGTCTTGAAGTATATTATAATATATATACATGGGGCTTGGGTCAAAAAGGGCCAATCTCACTTTTTGTCAAAAATGGGTTACATGGCCAATCTTTTAAAAATGTATACGCTTTTTCTAGTGGTAAAAGGGCGTATCTCAATAATCATTAGTGCGAGATATGATTAGATATGAAAATTACAAAATCTATGGGGCATATGTGAACATTGGCCCCTTTTTGTTTAAATAAAATTATGACTGGCCCTTATAGTTTCACTATAAAGGCCAAAGTCGTGTTTTTTTTTTTTTATTTTATAGGTCCAATGTAAATAGAAAACCTTCAATATTTAACTAAAAAATTCACACCATATTCTAAAATGTAGGGTAAACTATATTTACATTCATCACAAAAACAAAAACATGAACAATAAAAAAAACCCACCTACCAAAAAAAATCAGGGGTAGCAACTACTACCCTTGAACCCTCCCTCCAGTGTGCGCCACTGATGAAACCTGTATAATATAACATACAGTTTATAGGACCATTAATAGCATCAGTTGCAGATGTTACGTACCTACGTATTTAGTAATTAAGTAATAACAATGTACGACGTAGCGCACGTTTCTAATAGTACTTGACGATATAATTAATAAGGCAATTAGTATATTATAATATGCTAGGGCCATTGTAAAAGTATCTCTCCAGGAAAGTCAACACTCATATGAAGAATACGAGTCGACCAGCATACCAAGTACGAGACCCGGACGCAATCTCATGACCGAATTTGGCCACTGATACAACCACCCACTCCAAAGGACTCGATGATATAAATACCAGCTCGGGACAAGAGCTCGGCAGACAGTTAGGGATACTCAAGACATTTGGAGGCAGGTCGTTATTGGTCGTTATTTTGTACTTTCATTATGAAGGTATTGGGGATAGCTATTACTGTCCTTGTCAGTATAGAAAGGGCCCATTATAGATAATATGTTGAATTACACTGGAATACCTATCTTTATGCTGTAACTTAATAATTTTGTTTGTTGTATAAAGATTTCTGTTAAATCAGGTTTCACTGAAATTTTTTTTAACTATAAAAAATAAACATCTAATTTGTAAACATTTATCTAGTTTTTATTTATATTATTGATATTAATGTTTTTATAATAAACATAAATTATAATTTCAATCAAATGAATATTGACAGTGGTAGTTCTAAATAGTATATACAATAATTTTGGAAGTAAACTGTCAATTTATAAATAACTCTTAAAAATGTAATTACAGTTATAAAAATGTCACAGGAATTGCAAGTGAGTATTTTATATATAAAAATATAATTGTATAGAATAAGAAAATTAATTACAATAACACATTTTTTTTTAAAATTATATCATGTATCCATTAATGACTTTTCAGCGAAAAAAAAACAATTCTTAAAACATAACACATGATACCCAATAAAAGTATCTTTAAAAAAATAAGTTACCAACTTTATCTTGGACCAAGATGAAAGCTTCTTCTGCGATGTGACTTACGTTCACGTAATGAGATATATTCCTGTCTTCTTACACTACACCTGAGTTCTAAGATATTATTAATTTTTTGTACGATATCTTCAGCCACTTTTTGTTCTGCTTCAAAATCATGATGTTTGAAGTTACTCCATACAGCAGTTCCTTGTTGACTAGGGGCACTATCTCCAATACTAGAGCTTAATGCTGTACTATCATATACAAGTCTTAAGACAGCACGATTGTTGGATTTTGTTTCTGTAAGATCACATGCTACCACACAATCCATGTCATATGTAGCCGGCTTTTGTTTTGTCCATGGAAATTTAGAGCTAGATCTTTGCTTTACAACTGGGTCTAATTCTATTTTTTGGCCAGATATACCTAATGAAAGTAAAAATATTATGGTATTTATTACAAACTACTAATAATTTTTACTAAGCTTTTGTACGTCATGTGTCTATTAGATTCTGAGGGGAGCGAGGAAGCTAGTGGTTTTACAATGTTTATTTTTTTTATCCTGTTAACAAGATTTCTACCAGAGGAGTGCTTAGATTTTTTATAGAATCTAATCTATTAGAAATTTTGAGCAAGATAGATGGTACTTTAAAAAGGTCATTTTTCGATTTTCTCAATAGTTTTTTTAACACCATGGGAAAAACCACTGAAATTTAAATTTAATAAATAAGTTCATTTTTAAATCCATGTTTTAGATTTTGAGCGAAGCAAAGAATGGAAAGGTTTTAGAATAATTCAATAATGTGTTATTTAAAATGTGTTTTTTTTTGGTTGACATTATTCAGTGCAAAAATTTGGTATAATCTTAAATATTGAAAGTGGTTTTTGGTTGTAAATTTTATTTAATCGGTTAATCTTTTCAATAATTAAAAATAAACTAACAAATCACAGCAGAAAAAAACCAGTTTTTAATTGATTGGTATTTTTTACTGAATTTTGAATGGAAGAACAGTAGGTATACTTGTAATATTTAATAACTATCTATACTATAATATTCTATACTATTCATGATATATTATTTTTTTTTTTTTTAATATTTTGGCTCATTTTTTAAAGGAGCATGTGCAACACAAAAAAAGTTCTTCAAATTTTTTTTTAATGTTAAATTATTATAGTTACAGCTATATCAAATGATTCGGAGAAAATCCGATGTAAAAAAAAATGATTACATTAAGAGATATTATGAAATGTAGAATACACGCATGATGTTATTAGGCCTGGCTCATCGTAATTGCCTATTTTATACGTGTGAAAGTTCCTCTCTTCACACAACAATTTACCAATCTAAAATTTTTATAAATTTAGTTAACATATAAACGTTTGATTTTATGTGTTTAAGGCGCCCGGTGCCATTTTGTCCCCAAAAATATGTCTGCAGGAATAATGATACCGCCTTGTAGAAACAACCAAATTTCATCATTTTTTTTTTTAATTACTAGAGGGAAATATTCTACAGCAAGCATCAATCTCTGTTTTCAATAATTTATTCTCAAACTTTATAATATGTCTAAAAAAATACAAGATAAAAATCATTTTTTTACAATTTTTAAATACAATTATTTGAAATAAAATACAAAATCAGAGATCGATGCGGGCTGCAGGAAGTCTTCTTCTTTCAGATAAAAAAATAGTCATCAAAATCTGACAATTCTACAAAGCTTGAAAGTTATTTTTTTTGATAAATACACCCAATCAACCCCCCCCCCCCCTTCAAATAGGTATCGGATAGTAGACTAGGGGAAAAGTCTTAAAATTGAGGTGGCAACTAAAATATAAAATTTAATTATCAAATTTTATAGAATTATGGAAAATTTGAAAAACTGGCACCTAGACCCTCAAGACGATAAAAGTATCAGAAATTCAATATAACATTTAGTTTTTAAATATTAATAAATCTTTAAAGTTATACTTTGGTTAAACGGCGTGTCATGGTCATTTAAATATAAAATAAAAGTTGAAGTATATCTCTTTTAAGATTTTTAATATTTAAAAAACCAAACGTTATATTGAAATTCTGATACTCGTCTTAAACACATAAAACTACACTACACATCTATATGTAAATTCAATTTCAAAAATAAAACATTTAGGTTGGTAAATTGTGCGAGGAACTTTTACACGTATAAGATAGGCAATTACGATGAGCTGGGCTCAATGACGTCAAGCGTCTTTTTTCAATTGCTTTTTCAATAACTTATTGAATAATATGAGTAGAAACTTAAAACCTATACCACAATTCTTAGAATTGAACATTCTTTCAAATTAAAAAAAAAAACATTTTGTGTTGTGTGCTCCTTTAAGCTATTTGTTTTTTAAGACAATAGTATACTTTTTTAATTGTATTTTTGATATAGGTACAAGCAAATATGATCATGGTCTAAGAGCTTGATAATTTTGTTAATTTAAAAACATTACAACCGGTTTGAGTATTTATTACTTACCTAAATGTATTTCTATTTTTGCTCTAACTTTATTCAAAATATTCACATGGTATAATTGGTATAAAGGCGCTTCAATAGCAAGAAGTTTATTCAACTCTCCTTCAAGTTGTTGTTGAGCTAGATGAAATAACAAACAATAAACTTACATAAGAAAAAGAATAAGACTAGTTGTCTTTTAGATAAAAGAATTGAAGCAAATATTCTTACCTTTAGTGTTTACATTTTCACTTAAGACAGAATTTCCTTCCCTAAAAAAAGAATCCGTTTCAGTTATAATATATTCTACAAATCTATATTTTTAAGGAAATCATCTTACTGTGATGTAGGGGAATGATTTGAAGTAGCTGGTGCTAATTTACTGTCACGTTCAACAATAGCTAAGAACCCAAATCCAAATTTAGCAACAGTTTCTCGAGAGTCTAAACATGGAAAGTCAAAATCAACCTCACCGTCATCTTCTGCTATGTATAGAGCATAACAATCAACACTATCCCTAGTTATTAAACAAAAAGATTTAATTAATTTATTAAAATTATGAATGCTATCTCTTATAAATTTTTATTACTTCAAGGTGCAATCTGGATATTCAATAGTACATTTCCAGCATACCAATCCAATTAGATCATGTACTTTTGCAGTGGCTATAATTGATACTTGCATAGGATAGTTACGGCGTTCTAAATTCAGCATAGTTATAAATATGCCATACTTCCGAGTGGCTTCACCTAGCTGGGCCTAAAGAAATTTTTAATATTAAATATAAAATATTATTTTATAAAAAAAAATGTTAAATTTGAATTTAAATTTACATTTCCATCATATTTAGAATATTCTCGAAATGGATTCATTGGTAGGTATGGGCAAGCTTTCAATAACTTAGATAATTCAGAAACATAATTCTTTTTTTGGTGACTGATGTCTTTTTTAGGAAATAATTCAGCCTTTTCTTCATCTATATGTTTAAAAACCATTATTAGTAATATTATTATAATTACTAATTATTAATATATATAATACATAAGCAAGAAAAAAATATATTGAAAAGGTTAATTATTTGTTTGATATAGATACTATTTAAGTTGTAGAAATTTCCACATTTGAGTACTAATTTATTTGTATTTAAACATTAATTTTTCATATTATTAACAACTAATTTTAAGTCATAAATATTAACACTATGCTTCACATAGGTATACAAATATGTATATATATATTCAACACTATTTTCTATTTCTATTTGAAATACCTGTAAGGGAAACAGGTGTTATTTCCCATTTTACATGGCGCACATTAGCAGATTTTATCATATTTCTTTGCAGACGTTCTAACTGAACTGACGTATGAGATCGCTGACGTCGAACTCCAAATTCTTTAAAAACATAAACTAATTAATAAATAACTAAACAAATAGAAAATAATATGTACTATTTTAGATTCTGAGCGATGCGATGAATGTATTTTTATTTTACCAGTGTGAATATCAAGTGATTCTGCCAATTCTTCTTCTTCTTCATTATCTTCAATTCCTGGATATGTGTCATATTTTGATGTGGATATTGTTTGAAGTACATTTTCTCCACCCATAACCACCTCGCTAATCCCTATAATGTTAAATAATGTTGTATAAAAAAAATATCCAAATATATACATAAAGTGTAATTACTAAAATATAAACATAAAGAAACCTTGAATAGAATAATGTTAAGTATACAACCATGGCCACCAACTCTTCACAGCATTGCACCTCCAAAGCCATAAACTTCCAACACTTTGATTTCAAAATCTTTCCCAGGGCAAAGTGGTGGATTATTAAACGTTGAGCAGCTATCTGATTTTCCAAATCTTATATTTTCATCCATCCAAATAGCTTGACCGTCACCACCACCGATAGTTATCATTTTAGAATCAGCAGCCATAAAAAGTTCATTTGAATGACAAACATTATCATTTTCCATACCAACCCATGGATATTTTGATCTCTCGGGAAACAAGCTAAATAGAAATGTTTCTCCGGTTCCAAAATATGCTGTCCTGCTTCCTCTATCATCTTTTCTATTCCTCTCAAGCCATTTAGTTGAGCAATAAGCACCAAACACATCATCAGAACAAGTTTTAATTATTAACAATGTTGGTTCGTGTTGTTCGACTCTAAAATAAAATGTAGTCAAGCTGCATCCATGCTCTTCTGTAGTGTATAATAAAATTGGTTGATACATTGTAATTCTCATTGGTAACCATGACCACAAAGTGAAAAGTTCTCGTGTACTAAGTGTATGTGACAGGAGCTGAATATTTACTTGGGACTGACTGGTAGGCAAGTTCTCACTCGATCGAGACCTTATTAACTGATGTGAATTTGATACAATGGCTTTTGACTTCATTGACATTTCAGTTTTAACAAAAATTCTGTGTAAATACGCAGAGCTTAATGCTCGAATATTAAATGCTATTTTTAACAATTTATTAGGACTAACAGGCATTTGTCTGCAAAATTTCATTAAAGTAGCTTCTAATCCATTATTAAGAGCTTCTAAAGCCCAAGGAGAATTTCTTTTACTAGAATTTTTATGAAAAAGCTTTAGTATAGCCATGGCGATTCTATATAATACTTTAATACCTTCATGTAAGTAACAGTCCATAACTCTTACAATGTGATGAAATGGAAGGCCTTGAAAAATCCACCACATCCAATCGGTATAAACATGTTCCATTTTGGTTGCCGAACAGAATTTTGTTAAATTAATTGAAGCACCACTTGCATGTTTCCTTGTAACTCTCATTACGGTTCTCCAAGTGACTTCGTATAATGATTTTGTTTGAGTCATAAAAACCAATCTTTTTGAAGACACAAGACTAGTTAAACTATTATAACATTCTTCTTCAGGCATGAAATGTAAAAATAATGAGACTAAAGAGTAAATTGCTGGACTATAAGTAATATCAGGACATGCAAACCCAAGTACACATACTACTCGGTCTGCAACTTCTTTACCGACAGCAGTTAAATGATAAATATGTCTATGTTTAGAATCAACAAAAGGTGGCAATATACTAGTTTTATCTGGTAATTCTTTAGTACCAAATAATTGGATGACTAGATCCCAGTAGAAACCTTCAGTCATATTATTGTTGTTGTGCTGTTTACACAGTGCTGACCATAGTTGAGAGCGAATCATGTTATCGGCAGGCCAATGGTGGCTACGCAATAGTTTTTTAACTTCCTTGTGGCGTCCATTAGTAATGAGATGTTGGATTTCACTAAAAGTCTTGTTTGGCTGCTTCTTTGTAATTGTGCATTCCGGGATAACGAATGGAATACTGTCAACATTGACTAGCGATTGGAATGGCTGGTAATCGAGATCATTGATAATGACCATGATTTCTTTTCGGATACAGTTTTTAGGCCCAAAATTATATATTGGGTATGCTTGACAATTTAACAGAAGGCAGGTTAACTGAGTTAAGTTTAAAATAAGTATTATTAATAAAAAATACTGAAAAAAAAACGATCAAGTTAAAACCATTGCTTTATAGCACTTGTAATGATGAGAGTTGGAAAACAATTCACGAGATAAGATAAAAAAAATATGACATTAGAACGTTACATCGGACTATACACAGATCACGATTGTTGTTTACTTGCACTGATTGGATTCTGTACCTGGGCGGTCCAGATTTTAAGTATAAAGTGATGTACGATTTCTGTTTGGGTAGACGACGACGATGATCATTGAATCATACGGATTAATAATAACATTCACAGCCAACAGTAATGGAATAATTAAGTATAAACAGTCAGTTCAGTCGAATGATTATCGGTAAACGTAAAAAAAAAAATATGGCGTAAAAAATGGAATACGGAACGCGGCGAGGAATTTCTAGGCAATTACCTAGTCTTTTTTTTTTATTTTAAACGCTAGAAAAAAACTTTCGTCGAAAAAAATTTTCTCCAGATAACCATGCCCCACCCTTGGACACCTTGATAGTACACAGTGTTACCTGCTCGAATGGTCTTGTTTCGTAAACATAAGCGCGTTTAATACGTCCCATACCTAGTCAGTCTGTTTGTTTTCATTGCGGTCGTTGGCACATTAACTTACTATACCATAGCTCTATGCTTACTACTCTACCCATTTCTACCCACCTACTGCGACCTGTCCTGCTACCCATGATAATAAAAAATATATATTATGATACAACAATAACAGTAATCTTGCGATAAATCGACTCGTCGGCGGCCGTACGCTACGATTTTGGTGATATTATTATTCATATTGTTTATTATTCATATTATTCATATGATTACCTGTGTCATCGGACGATATGAACGAGTTTCTGATGTGAGAGAGAAGCCAATGTTTGCTGTCGTAGAGCGCCATTATTTCAGGCTGCCGAACGGTGTACACGAGTGCTGAAAAATTCCTCGATGTCCAACATTGGATTCTCTTCGCAGAAGGGCCGGGGCGACCGAGGCGAAAATAGTATGCGATATTTTATTTCACCAACCGTATCAAACCGATCCAAAAATCAAAACATACACTACTACAACTTTTTTTTAAAGTGTATCGTGATAAGGCCGATACGATAAATTGATAAGCAAAAGATTCAGTGCCGACGTTTTGTCGTTTTGTTCACACGACAGATATTGCGAGATTTACCGTTTATAATCACATACTACTCGATTCTCAAATACCTGTCCAGTGACTGTGACTTGTCCCTACCTACCTTGAAAGAAAATTCCATTTAAGTATTATTTACAAGAATTCTTGCATACGTGCACGTAAATCGTACACGAATCGTCGTGATGCATTATTCTATATTTTTGTACCTACCTATAACAATATACGTAATAGATATGGTTCTACGTCCATATTCCATGGTAGGTACCTACGTACCTAAATATTGCATTACGTCATATTATCTACAACTTAAAAGTACGTCATGCACAATACCCGAGTACCTACTATACATAAACGACATGAAACGACCTTGGACAGAATAATATAGAAAATACTGGACACTTGTGGAATGCATACACATTGAGATTTATTGGGGAACACACTTATAAATTTACCAACACTATAAAAATACACACGTCTTATTGCCGTTACCCATTGGCTATTGGCATATTGCACTACACATAATATAATATATTTTATGTTTAGGACGTTAAGTATAGGTAACTTGGCAACGTTACATTCTTAACGATTTTAGAACAGTGATATCTATATTTTAAATTTTTATTACCTAATTAAGTAAGTCTGTTGAGAGAAAATAAATCTAAAATGTACTATATGAAAATTAAAATCAATTAACCTATTTAGTTTTTGAGTAAATAAACATCTGAGTTGTGACTTATTACTAGTTTTTAGAACAACTTTATTGGACCTACTACCTATATAATACTATAACTATTAAAATAGATACCTGTTATATGTGGTTATATTATGTTACACCTCCACTGCTGTCCACATTAGCCATTGTTCGGTATAATAGGACAATAGTAAATATTAACATTTAAAAAGTAGGTCCATACGTCCATACGTGATACGTAACCTACATAAATACCTATAATATGTTTCATCCCAAATATATGTACGATGTATCTAATGTTATTGAAGGATTGGATTGGACACTTGGGTTTGATAAATAATATAGTACTTTTTAGGGCTTAACCAATGACCCCAAAAGGAAAGACTGAGGTCATTATACTGTTCCAAGGAAATATACATATGCGGGGCCAAGGAGAGCGCAAGGTCTGCTGTAAACCCTCTGAACACATAACAAATATTTTATTATTTTATATTGCTCATTACTAGACTATGACTATAATAATCGAATAATGCGCATACAAAACACTCGCCACCATAGACCACGATCGCATGTATTGTAATTTGTGAATGCGTACCTATATTATACAAGTGTGGTGATAAGTGTTAAATAAATACTAGTATAGTTTTTAAGTCATTTTAAATTTTTTTCAAGTTGGATACTTGTGATACAAATTATGTTTATTGAAAACAATATCATTATCTATATCTATAGTTATATATAAATGGAGTGTGAAAAATGTCATTTCCTCGTCAATCGAGAACGGCTGGTCCGATTTGGCTCAAATTTTTTTTAAAATGTTTGTAATTGCTAGGAGAAAGTTTTTTACGAAAGAAAATTTTACTAAAATCCACAGGAAAAGTAGGAAATCTGGATGTAAAAAATACAACAGTGGCTCAACAGTGTATTATATATTGGTTGCTATTGGTAAATCGGGCATGTTTGTTGATTTGTATTATTATTTTTTGACAATATATATATATATAAATGAATGTTTGTGTGTAGATTAGACCTCTGGGAAGAAGACAGGCTAATTTAAAAATAGTTAAATTTGGTTTTTTTTTATTCGTCTGATATTAGTACGGTTAGGTTAGGTTAGGATTTCCGATTTTGTATTAATTGATTATATTAATCCACCATAGGTAGAATACGAAAAACTTGATATAACTTTGATACTCTAGAGTCAAATCATACGCTTACGTACAAACATCACGGGGTCCACTATCTACCGCAGGTAGATTGCCTAGGTGGCT